TGTTGATAATGACAGTCCCAGTGGCCGTGGTGTATCCCGTGGGGCTGTGGAGGTGTCGTGCGGGGCCGGCGGTGCGCTGCGTGTACGCCCCGCTGCTGAGAGCGAGTGGCTTACATGCGGTGCGGGCAGCCGTGTGTCTGCATGTGGAAAGTACGCAGACCTCTGCCGCCAGCGTACCGCAAGTGTAAATGATTACACAGCGACAACAACAAGAAGAAGAAGAACAACAACAACAACAACTACTACTGCTAATGGGCAGCCAAAGGCAGTGATGGCGATACTTAATCCTATAATCGGTATTAATGATGGTGATACTACGGGTTTATTTGAAGAGGTGGGTATGTTTTCTTCTGCAGGAAGTGGTACTGTGCAAAGACGAAGTGATGAGACGGGAAATGAGCAGTTGAATTCCAATGTTATTCCCCAAACGGATAACAGTCTGCGTCCCGTTGGAAGTTCCTCTGGGGCTGAAGGATTGCTGTCAGGTAATACTGGAGCTAATGGAAGTTCAGTAGGAGACGTTAGAGCTCCAGAGTTGGCGTCTAAAGTAGCTGGTGCTGGCACACCAAACTCTGTGGAAACGCATCCTGAATCACACTCAGTCGTAACATCTACTCTAACTACATCCTCACCTGGAGATCTAGGACCAAAACCGAGTAAGCCACAAGATGTGTCTCCAACACCTCCAGCAAGCAGTAATGTCAATGATGATGCCACATCACAGCAACGTTCTCTACCTACTGCGAGTACTGTACCCAGTGATGGTAATTCCGGTAACCATTCTACTGCAGAAGCAAGCGCGACTACAACCAACTCTAATACTACCCAGGTACCAACAGTTACCAGAACGCAAATCCACAATGCAGGGTCTAATGCACCTACAGAAGATAATCAAGGGGCAGCGATCAACGCAACTGATAACAGTACACCTGCCCACTCTAATGCTACCCAGCACTCTCCTTCACCTGTTGATGTAACTGCCGTACCAGAATCACAAGAAACCAATACCACTACTCTGCCGAGCACCGATAACACTACCACCACCACCACCACAGAAGCACCAACCACCACTCTATCTCCTGTTCCCGTAACTGACTCACAGATCAGCAGCGTTGCCTCTAATATGCAGAAAAAGGCTAATGCTGACAGCAGTGTCAGTTCTGTGTGGATGCGCACTGCAGCACCGCTGCTGATTGTGGCTGTGTTGTTCTCCGTTACCGTGTACTGAACGGTGGGACTCACTTGAGAGCATATAATAATAATGGTTAAACTAACATAATCATAATTGCGTACATCCCCTATGGGTGAATAAATTAATAATCTGTTTACCAGCTTTCTCGTTTTAATTCGAATTTCTTTTCTTTTACTTTTATGTGTGTGTGTGTTGTTTTTCTAATAATTCCATTACTTGCTTTTCCCGTTGTGTGTATGTAGAAAACTGGGCTGTTCTGCTCACTGACGGTATACATCTCTTGCTAGTACACACAGATGTGTGTGGAGTAATTTAGTACTTAAACTAGAGCCATGGAGTATTGTGTGTGTGTTTGGCTCTCTCTCTTATTTGGGTATTGTGGGGTCCTTTTCTTTTCATTTCTATTAAGGGGTTACATATTATCATTCAAGTGGGATATTCCTTTTTCTTGCTTTACTGTGCAGTTACTGCTTCTCTCTCTCTCTTTTCCAATGTGAGTATTCGTGTCCTGTATCCACTCACTATATATATCTCTTTTTCTTTCTTCTTCTTTTACTTTTCAACACTTGATACATTTGACCTGTGAACTCAAGTGACGAGAGTAACAAGAACAACTTTTGTCATGATGCTGCGCCATCTGTTCTATATACTAGCTTTGCTTCTGAGTGTTATCTCTCTATGTGTGGCATCTGCAGAGATTCCTGGTGGAGGTGGTGATCGTGTTGTTCCTGATACTGCATCTGAAACCAAAGTTCTTCATACTGAAGTGCAACAGACTGACCACCCTCCTGCCGGTCCTACGGATCCTGCTAGTCATTGTCCTGCAGTTAGTGATGATGGCGGTACTTGTCTTACTACTTCTGCTGAGACGTCGTGCACTCCTAATTCTTCCGTTTCAACCGATGGTCAGCCTTGTTCCCCAGCATCAGCAAAAGTCCCGGATGCAACTCAACCACAACGGCTAACTACTGGTGATCCTGGTTCTGGTGGTCATGGTTCTTCTTCTGATTCTCTCTCTGAAACTGGGGTTCGGGGTGCTGGCATCGCTCCTATTGTTCAACCCCAACAACATCCTTTACCTCCTACCCTTCCTCTTCAGCTACTTGCGCCTGGTGCCACTTGCACTCCGAATTCTTCTAATCTTCCTTGTACAACTACACCAGAGGAACTCACTCCAACTAAACCAGTAATAACTACTACTGAAAAGCCTGGACATGGTGCTCATGTTGATGCTCCTTCTAATAAAGATGGTCATCGTGCTGCTGCTGATAGGACTGGGGCTCACGTTACATTAGTTGAAGCTGGTCCTGGAATTGGTTCTGGTTCTGGTACTGATGATAACTCTTCTTCTAATCATCCTACTGCATCTCCTCCACCTGCTGCTTCTACTCCTGCTAGTGATCCTCAACCTGGAAACAGCGACAACCATGTATCCAGTGCAGCAGATAGCCAGGGAAGTGCGGGAACACAACCTTCTTCTTCTTCCACCAGCAGTTCAGAGACAGTGAGTTCCGGTAGTTCTGAAACCACAAAAACTGGGAATGGCACTACATCTGCAGAGAATGGTTCACCAAACAACACTGGTGATGTGGGAAATGCAGATACCACTACCACAACAACAACACTTCCTCCTGAACTCACAAACAACAAGAAGGGTGATGCAGACAGCAGCAGCAGTATCAGCAGTTCTGTGTGGGTGCGTGTGCCACTACTGATTGTGGTTACACTGGCCTGTATTCTTG